GGGATACTACTAGCCCCGTATCCGGATTAACTACCTGGATTATGTGAGGCAATATCAAATCTGTCAACAGTTCACAATTTTGCCTAGTAGGTCAGCATCTTATTACACCCCAATCACTTCGGGGATTCCGTTTGCAAGGTGGGGCATCGATCTACTAGGACCCTTACAAAAAGGGTAGGAGGATTAAAGGCAGAGCCCCTAGTTTCTATCACTAGATATCAGTGTCACAAGTTTGTCTGGAAAAACATATTCATGAGATTTGGATTACCGCTGCAAATCGTGTTAGACAATGGTAAGCAGTTTGACAACCCAGAATTCGGGAGGTTCTGTATTTACTTTGGGGTAGAACACATTAAGGTGGCCGTAGCATACCCACAGGCGAATGGCCAAGTCAAGAACACCAATTGAATAATACTAGATGGCATTAAGAAGAAAGTCGAGGCAGTAGGATCCACGTGATACAAAGAATTGTCCTCAATCTTGTGGGCATATCGAACCACACCGTAGAAAGTGACCAACGAAACGCCCTTTTCCCTCACCTACGGCTGCGAGGCCAGGGTATAAGTGGAGGCGCATGTGTCGTCGAGCAGGTGGTAGAGTACAACCCTGAGCAAAACGATGAAAACCTTAGAATCAAACTGAATCTCTTGGAGGAAGAAGGGAGCAAACCCGCAAGAATATAGCAGAGTACCAAAGGATCACCAAACGACACCATGATTCCAGAGTACGACCTCGACAATTTCAGGTGGGCGATTTGGTCATCCGCAGAAGGGAAGTTAGCAAACCCCTCCTAAGGGGCAAACTAGCTAAGAATTGGGAAGGACCTTACAAGGTGACGACCATTGTATGGGACAACACCTACAAATTGGAGATGATGTAGGGTGATTCCGACCTGCGGCGTCTTTTTAAGGTAGTTATACGTGACCTGTACCTACGTTTTCATTATTATCTGAATAAAATTCTACGTGTTTTCACATTTAGAGTCCTTTTATTACTAACTTGGCACCAAGGCTCGGGTATAGCATATGCCCGGTTATCACATATCTCCACCTGGATATGTAGGGAAAGGTACGCAACCTAGCGTGCAATCGACAAAAAAAATAAAAATAAAATAAAAAATACAGTTTGTGGTGCTATCATGAGGCAGCAGGCATCCCACAAACTTATAGGTATTTACGAGTTAACGGGACGCAAGCCCTAAACTCGGTAAATACCCATTCCACCTAGCATGCAGGGAAAGGTACGAAACCCAGCGTGCATCTGGAAAAAAAATAGAACGCAGTTTGTGGTGCTAGCATGAGGCAATAAGTAGCCCAAAAACTTATAAGTACTTCCGAGGTAACGGGACGTGATCCCTAAGCTCGGCATATACCCATCTCCACCTGGGCATGCAGGGTAAGGTACAACCCAGCGTGCAATCGGCAAAAAAAGGAATAAGAAAGAATGCAGTTTGTGGTGCTAGCTCGAAGCAGTAGACGGCCCACAAACTTATGCAGGGTACTAATACAAGGCGGCAGGCACCCCGTAGGCATAAGTGTTCAAGCAAAGTGGGGAACTACGAAGATGTTTTGGAGGAGATTAGACAAATAGAACAACAAGCAGTTCGAACACAAAACAGCACGAAGTAAGTTGCTCAATTCAGCAAAGAATGGTGAAAGTAGTGTCAAGCTACATAACGAAGGCTAAGTAGAAAGCTGAAAATAAAAGTGACCGGACAGACCCCCGACTCACTCAAGAATGCGGAGCAGTAAATCCCTTGGCTGAACCTAAAAATCCAGAACTGGAGGGTATAGTGTTCCCTCCCACACTCCCCATTGGAATTTGTGCCATCAATACCCTAAATCTCTATAGATGGTAAGGCAACAGACGATGTCAACCCAGCCTATGCCCTCTCAGGTGTGACTAGGAAAACACTGGCAGGAGTAGACGTGGTGAAGGGTATCACTAGAGAAGTTAGACGCTCAAGAGGCAGTATGTCTGGTAGCTTCCACCCTAGTGTGTTGAAGGAACAAAAGCGCCGCTCTAGCTTAGCATATAAGTACTCCTGCATATCCCGTCGACCCATGTAAAAGGAAACCTCCCCCTCGTGTACTACACGATCCCTACCTTCATCAGTATCTCGTAACCATACCTCAGCAATAGGACCCATGGCGGTCTTACCCCTGGCGTCCTAGTACAATCCTGGAGTATCTATATGGATGGGGGGCTAGTGAACTAGCGGTAATCCTGACCCTCCTGCCAATCGCTCATTGCCTCCACCATGGCCTCGCCATACACATAGGAACTTCAGCTAGGACAACATTAGGGTAGGCATGCAAGTAAGGGTATGTGCGTCTAAAATCCGCACAAAAATCTTCTGAACCCTGCCAATCCTGGATGGCGCTCTGAGCAGAATGTTGGAAGGTTATAGCATGATCCTCCTCTTGCCTCTTACATTTATCCTCCAGGGGCTTGGCGTAAGTTTGAGGGTTTTCATCATGCAGCTTGTTGTATTTTCCATTAACGCACAAAGACTCAAAAAAGAAAAAAAAAAAAAAAAAAAAAAAAAAAGTAGAGTTGTCTTATCGTCTAGACTCTCGACTGCCTGGACCTCTTTTTGCCAGCGCACTATGTAATTATGCAGACTCTCTCCCTCCTTCTAACATACCCAAGATAGATTTGAGAAGTACTTTTTGGGTTTCATGGTACCAGCGAAATGCGTTAGGAATCGATCAACTAAGGCCTCAAAACTTATGACCGACCTTGGCGGTAAAGGCAGGAACCAACACTACGTGGAGCCGGCCAGCGTAGGGAAGAACGCTCGGCAAATCATCGGATCCTCAGCCCCGAAAACCTGTATTTTAGCCTTGAAGCTAATCAGATGGTTGCGTAGGTCACCTGATCCACCGTACGATGGGTGCTCGGGCAACTAAAAGTGTGTCGGGGCCTTATAAGCTAAGTTATTTGGTGAAAAGCAGGAAGAGGTTAATAAGGTCTTAGTATTCGCTTTCTCCCTTCCTTCAAATTTTTTTCGCAAGTCCTTAATTTCCTGTGCCAAATCGGCCACGCCAGGCTGTACCCGTGCACGCCTGGCTGGCGTTTCTCCGTTGCTCTCCAGGACGACTGCAACAACCTCTCACCTACACCTTGAGGTTGTGTGCTTGTGTATGTTCCCCTGCTCAGGCTCTATCGCAGAGTGCTCCCTAGCTCCCCTCCTGGTCGAGTGGGCAAGCGACGTCTAGCTCAACTGCCCAGCTGATCTAGTACAAACCGGGCGGGAACTGCATGTCTTAACCGCGAGTGGACCGACCGTGCCGTGTTGGATATAAATAATCTAACAATACAGAATAATAATCTACGAGAAACCTAACCTCGTAGTAGCGAAAGTGGAAGCAGTATTGATCTCCAGCCATAGTTGATGTTCTTGTTGTTTTGCTTCTTGAACGGTAGACCGTTAGCCATATTGCTCATACTTGGCTCAAAATCACAGATGGTTTATAGGTCACACCTACTAAGCAGTACGAGTACCGTAACTGAATGTGGTGTATAATGAATATCATGTATCCCATCAATCCAGGTTTATATTAGGCAAAGAGTCTGGTTGAATAACAACTTCTAGTTATTCAGTCCAACCAAACTACTTAGTAAGCCTATTCAACTTGCACTACTTAATTAAGGTCCTAATATATATTATTAGGGAAAATCTTACATGCCGGCCTAGCTCGGCCTGTCGTGCAGCCTTCTGAGCAGACAAAATACTCAGATGAATGGGAAGTAGTGCCCCCCCCCCCCCCTCCTATTTCAGAGGCACTAACTGATTAGGTCGTGGCTGACCACTGGGGGCTGCTAAACATCTCTCTCGTTCATACATATATTCAATATGCGAGCAAATTAAAGTCTTCAGGGATAGTTGGAGTGGTGGGTGCCACAGGCGGATTGGGAAGTACCACAACCACTCCTTTTGGCAACGCGTCAAGGTTTGCTGTGTAAGCCACCGACCGCTCGCTAGAGTTGGGGCGGCTCAACTGTTGTTTCAATTTGCTGGCGAAACCGCGACTGGTCGCGACACGACTGCCAATGCGCCTACTTCAATTCGGAGAGTGTGAGCCATTAGCAAAGTTTAGAGACAAGACTTTTCGTATCAATCCTCACAAACCGCGCCAATGTTGGTTTTACGGCCACGAAGCAGCCAAACGGTGGGCTGCCAACACAACTGTAAAATAAAGGAAATTTTAAGAGAGAAAGTTAACAGAGTAATTGCACTAGAATAGAATTCCGAACCCTTTACAATGAGTCCTCGCGGGGTATTTATACAAGACTTTGGTGCGGGGAAAAGGAAAGAAATAATAAATTAACAAATTTGAACTTAGTAAAGCTCTCAAACTGTTATGCCTCTTTCCTAATGTTGAAAAAGGAAATCCCGCCCAAAATCTAGAAGAAATCTCCATCAGATCCCCTTTAACCGCCACTGAGTACAGCATGCGGTTGAGAAACCAAACTGACGGCCTCCGCTGGCTAGCTCGCCGGACCGGACGAACCGGACACATGCCTTGGTAGGAGCCAAACTACTGGATTCCTCCCGTCCTCTGAGAGCGCATTCAAACTTTGAACCCCAACCGCCAAGGTACGCTCTTAATTGGGTACCCTACGGGGGTTATTCATCACTGGGGTTTTAATATTTTGTTATTGACGTTTCTAATGTCATTTAAACATCGCTCCACTTAGAAGATTTTATGAACCGGCCCTTGTTGAAGCTTGTCTCTCGCTCTCTTTCTTCAATCTGATCTGTTTGATGAAATTAAACACCAAAACGATGTCATTTTCATCTATGTCACACACTGCACGCATAACATTTACTGATATTTGGACAAACGCAGTAGCTTGTCTGAGTAGGTAGAAAAGAGATTTATTATTTTATGAAAATATACGACGATGTACGAGGTAAAAATGACAGAGAGAAACTTGTTAATAAATCCTGGCAATATACTTGTATATATACTTGCGTGTGTGTATACGTAGTTGCAGACTTGTGGTAATTGAAGGAAAATTAAAGGAGCATGGGTCATCGCTGTTGCAGCAAACAGAGAGTGAAGAGAGGGTTGTGGTCTCCTGAAGAAGATGAGAAGCTCATAAAGCACATTACCACTTTTGGTCATGGCTGCTGGAGCACCGTTCCCAAACTAGCTGGTACGTACTCTCATCTATTTCAATTCAATTCTTTCATCTAACTTTTATTCTAGCTACCACCTTTAATTTAGCTCAGAAATTATTTTCCTGTAGTTTTTAAATTTTATACACTAATACTAAATTAAATATTATAAGTAATTGATTGATAAATAATTTAAGTCAATTCTCATAACCAGACATATAAAATAGAAGGTAAATAGTATATTATCTCTGACCATAAATAGCCACCAGATCGACATGATAATTAATGGAGTATTTGATTTGTTCCTTCATTTTGACCTATGATATTAACTGTAATTTCAATATCTAATTTACACATTGTTACAAATAAAAATACTTCTTTATTAGTTCCCAAGTAACTATTTTAATTTCGTCTTTCATATGCATCTTAAGAATTAAAAATTGTAACTTTATAAGTATTGATTTTATTTGGTTCTTCGATGATTAATGACTAAGGGATACATTGGTAATAACATGCAAATTAGAATTGCGATTTACAACTGGATTTGCTCAATAGATCAAAACTGCAGTTTTTCTTTATTAAAATCAATTACATTAACAGTTTGCAAAATTAGTTCTTAGATGTGGTAATTGTGTATTTTGGTCTCACCCTAACCATATTTTTAGTCTCATTTGTAAATTCAAATATTGGTGGATTGTGCGGTAAAAACACATTTTAAAATATGCACGGTGGTGGAATGGGTGAGTGGGTGAAACATGATCTATCCATCATATTTAGGAGAAGATTGAAGTTTATCTAGTACTCAGCAAATTATACTTTATTGTGGTTCAGGCATCAAATATGCACTGTAGTTTCATTTCATCACAACTACAATATCATTCTGATATAACTATAGTTTAGTTGGACAATGAGCTTGTTTGGTTATCAGCGGTTAGCGGTTAGCGGTAGAGGATTATGTTAGCGGTTATTAGATAGCGGATTGTATTAGTGGGTTTGACCAGCAGATTGTATTAGCGGTTTGTAGAAAAAACGTTTGGTAAAATTAGCTGTTTAGATTAGCAATTGAGGTGTAAAAAGACATATAAGGACATTGCTACAATAACTACAATAATAATATGAAATTATAATTATTATTATTATTATTATTATTATTGTTGTTGTTGTTGTTATTGTTATTGTTATAATTATTATAATTATTAGTTTCAATTTTGTTGTTGAAAAAAAAACAAACACAATACAAAGGGGAGCCAAATTGGTTCCCCTTTGTATTTCAGTGTTATCCCACATCGGTGAGGTAACACTGAAGGGCCTTGAGGCTCCTCTATAAAAGGAGCCTCAAGGCCACTTAATTTATTCTTCCCATTCGATGTTGTCCCACATCGAATGGGAAGAAAAAATTAGCCTCAAGTCTCCTCAATAATATTGAGGAGACTTGAGGCAAAGCACAGTTTAATTTTTTTTTTTTTATTAATGAAGGGCATTTTGGGAAAAGAAAGGACTTTCCCCAAAACGCCAAACCCAAATGCCAGCGGTTCGGAGTAAAAATGCTGCTCCGAATCGTTGTCTAATCAAACAAAGATTTTGGCGTTTTGACTAAGTCAAAACGTCAAAATTGGTGGATCCGTCACTAACCAAACAAGGTCAATATACACTCAAATATATGAAATTGTTATTTAGTTTCATTTCAAAACAACTGCAGTTTCATTTCAAAACAACTGCAGTTCATTTAAATACACTGCAGTTCATTTAAATACACTATAATGTCTACCGTTTTGGACCATGATTCACAAAGCTTTGTAGACCGCGGTCCACAGTATAAATTGCTGCTCTGTACATATCTTTGATGAATAATAACTGTGGACCTCATTATCCAAACAGGAAAAAAAAAAAAAAAAAAAACTATTTTTAATTAGTACGGCATGTCCTCAATGTAACTCAAATGGTATCTGACCAATTCGACTAATTATGAAAATTTAAGAAAGTGAAAACCAAGTTTTCCTTTTATAACAATGTGATTCTATTTTTATTTATTTTTTACTATTATAAGTCTTAATAGTAGGATTTATAGATCAAAAACCAACATGTGACAAATGAAAATCATCAGAGCGAAGAACCAAAACACTACAAAGTTGACAATCTAAAGACCCATTTTAAAAATGATCATTTTAAAAAATCAATCAATTGTACATATAACCTGTTAGAAAAGTAAAAATGAATCTGAGAACCAAAAAACAAAGGAAATGCTTGATCAGAATCTTTAAGCGTGTGAAAGGCACACTATCCTAAAAGTTTCTAATTTCTTTTAGCAAACAATGATAAACAAATTATAACTTTTGAGATACAAGAAGAATGACAAACTTTTAACTTAAAATTTTTGTTTAGGAAAACAATCTCACGTATGTACTGCAGTTACTTAGTCAAGAATAAAATACACTCGTACTTAGCTTGCATATGTTGGAAACTAATTGATTTCTATTTTGTATCAATCATCAAACATCCCTTATTTAATCCTCTTAATGCCAGAATTTTGAAGAAGTTTAATGAACTTTTTTTGTAACTTCAACCATCATTATTCTCATAATGATTACAATAATTTAAATTTAATAATTAAATTATTTTGTAACTTATTAAAAATTCATTATATTAATAAATATAATATTTACAACTCTTGAAAACATATTACAATGTTCAAATACTTTTAGAAATATTTACCCAAAAAACTTTTTTTAAGATGTCATCCCCCGAAAGACATGTGTCTTTCTGAAATCTTCCTTTTAGAAGATATCACTTCCTTCCAAAATCGCTTCCTTCTGGATTTCAACTATTCCGGATGATATCACTTCTTCCGAAAGAAGCCGCTTCTTTCCGGTAGACTTTCCAAGTACTTTCGGAAGATACTGCTTTCTTCCGAAAATCCCTCCAAATAAATTTACCAACATTCTTGATCAACCAAAATATAAAATTCCTACCAAACATAATAATATTCTCAAATCCACAACAGCAGAATATTATTTATGCTTCCGGTATACGTGATTGAATAAATATATTCAAACATTTACTCTAAATATTTAACATAAATGGGTAAATATACAGTTGTCCCTCTTTTATTTTTATTTTTAGGAATAAGGGTCAAATAGGCCACCCAACTGCACACAAACATGCAATTATGTCATCCAACTAAAAAAGAATGCAATTGGGTCCTTGAACAATACAAACTTATACAATTTGACCCAAATTTTACTTGTTTACCTGAATAGAAGGTTACTAATTTAAAAATAATTTTTTAACAATAATTTTTAATCAAAATAAATATTTAAAATAAAAAAAATTAAAAAGAAAAAAGAAAGAAAAAAAAACCGCCGGAGACGAAGAACTCTTTGTCTCCGGCGAGTCGCTTCGTCTCCTGGCCGGAGACGAAGTTACCTTCGTCGTCTCCGGCCATGGAGACGAGTTAGGCCATGGAGGCGAAGGTCTCTTCGTCTCCATGGCCGGAGACGAAGGTACCCCATAGCCGACGATGAAAGTACCTTCGTCTCCGACCATGGAGACGAAGAGATCTTCGTCTCCATGGCCTAGGGACGAAGGTCCCTTCGTCTCCATGGCCGGAGACGACGAAGGTAACTTCGCCTCCGGCCAGGAGGCGAAGGGATTCGTCTCCGGCGGTTTCTTTTTTTCTATTTTTTTTTTTAAATTTTTTTTAAATTTTTTTATTTTAAATATTTATTTTAATTAAAATTATTGTAACAAAAATTATTTTAAAATTTAGTAACCTCCTATTCAGGTGAACAAGTAATTTTGGGTCAAATTGCATAAATTTGTGTTGTTCAGGGACCCAATTGCATTCTTTTTGAGTTGGATGACCTAATTGCATGTTGGTGTGCAGTTGAGTGGCCTATTTGACCCTTATTCCTTATTTTTATGAAACAAACAAAAGTAGCAATTGTTAATTATTCTTAGGTTGACCCGAGAAGACCGAAAAATTAATGAAGTAGAGAAAAGAAAGTTGAACAGGATAAGAAAATTAGCTCGATAACTTGAAATTGATAAACTTGAAGTTCAAGTAGACAAACATGAAACTTAGTGGGATTGCTCGATAGCCTCACCCATTCAAAGTTACTCTTTGTTTCACAAATGATGTGGCAAAATATATAAATTAAAGTAACCTGTATGTAACATCCTCTTTAATCATGTTTATTTTATTAAGCTTTTAAGCAAAATTCTAGTAAATATATTAATCAATGTATTACAAAATAGATTAATTTTTTTATGAAAATAAATAATGAAAAATAAAAATTTGTTATAAATAATATAATATTTTTTTGAAGGTAAAATAAGATATATAATTTAATTTGTATTTGTTAAAATTTTAAATATTAAAAAAAGTTATTAATATGAAAATTATTGTTTATATACTTTATACAAATGCTCATAAATATTAAATTAAAATTTTTAGTTGGAATTTGAAATTAGAGATATGGATTGATTAAATGATAATTTAAATTTATATCTATTAATATAACTATGCTAGATTATATTCTTAAATCTTAATGTGAATTTGATGTAAAAAGAGCGCGCACTTTGTAGTTTTGTGTAGTGAAATTTTAGAGTGGTAGATCTTATAATTTTGCTGGATACTCATTTGTATGTAATTTTTGTAAGAAGACTTGTTCTCGATCACCAAAACTTACCCTTGTCAATGGTTGATGAAGAAGAATGAAAGTGATTATTATATTTAGAGTTCTACTACATAGACTCTCAAATCGTACTTCCTGAATTTTACTCCTTGATGTAGCGGCTATTGATTGGCTACTTCTTTCATCTGATCCCCATACAAGTGTCTACATCAAGATTTTGTGTGGAGTAACAGTTTGGGAGTAGAAAATGAGAGTACATATATAGTATTTTCGAGTTAATACCTACAATGGTACTCCGAGTATTATCAATTTACCAGTTGTGTTATCTGAGTTTTAAATGACCTCCAATGGTCCTCCGAGTATTATCAATTTACCAGTTGTGTTATCTGAGTTTTAAAAAATAACCACCAGTGGTCCTTTTAGACGTCTTGTGGTCATTTTAAACTCGGGGTTTTTTTTTTAAGAATTAAGACCAGGTGTGATTATTTTTTAAAACATAGAGGAGCATTGGAGGTCATTTAAAACTCGGATAACCACAATCAGTAAATAGCTAACACTTTGAGAACCATTGGAGGTATTAACTCTAGTATTTTCCTTATATTTTATAGTCCATGCATGGAAATTGCAGGGCTACAGAGGTGTGGGAAGAGCTGTCGATTGAGGTGGATCAATTACTTGAGACCGGATCTGAGGAGGGGATCCTTCACTGAGCAAGAGGAGAGAACTATAATTGATGTTCACAGAATTATAGGCAACCGATGGGCACAAATAGCCAAACACTTGCCAGGAAGGACTGACAATGAAGTCAAGAATTTCTGGAATTCTTGCATCAAGAAGAAACTCATTGCTCAAGGCTTGGATCCAAATACTCACAATCTCATCTCTCCAACCCAGGCCAAAACCACCAAACAAAACAACTCCCATTCCCATACCCATAATCATCGCCGTCACCAAAACTCACCCCCCTCAGCTTTCACTATAGAGACTTCTTCATCATCCCACAGAGATGTTGTTCCCATGGAGATCAAAGCCACTCTTGCAGCAGCTTTCCCACCTTTCCCTACTCCACCAAATGAGAAGCTATTATACCATAAGAATACCATTCCATTGAGCCACGAGAGGAATAATAATCCAGTAATGGATTATGGGAGCTGCTCTTCAATGGAGATCACTTCCTCTTCCTCCAATCTTTCGGGGTTGGGAATCTTGAACTCTGACAACTGCATGTGGGGAGGTGCCACTAATCTTGAACTCCTGTTTGGAGGGAGTGCGGAAGGTAGACAAGAAGAAGGAGAAGAAGATCAAGAGGAACATATTCAAGAGGAAATGGGGGCTGGGACTGAGACTCAGACTGGGGGGAATCAAGTGTTCAAGGTTAATACTGATGATGAGTTCAACAACAATGGGCAGAGCATAGAGATTAACTTGTTCGACAACTCTAACATTGGGATAGACTTTGTGGAGTCTTCACTCATGCCCTGCGCCATGTATTGTAATGCAAATTCTATGGACCAACTTCCTTGGGATTGCTGATGTTTTAAAACCTTCCTGCTCCAACGTACGATTAAATTCAAGGCATAATTTGTTTATGTCGACCGATCAAATCGTTTCCCAAGTTGGAATAATATATCTATATCACACACTACCCCCCCCCCCCCCTCCCCCTCCCTCTCTCTCTCTCTCTCTCTCTCTCTATATATATATATATATATATATATATATATAGTGTGTGTGTGTGAAGGAATACCAAGGATTCACGTGAGTGGGGAAGAAAGGATGAAGAAGAGGGTGTTTTAAGGGCGAAAAACTTGTGACTGCTCTGTTGTCCCCTTGTCATGATGGTGACAGAGTCGTGAAACGGGTCCAGACCCTGTCACGAGCTCCGTCACGATCGTGAGGAGCTCGTGACCAGGGATCAGACCTGATCACGACCTCCCCCACAATCGTGAGGAGGGTCCCGACAAATTTCTTCCAACTTTTTGAATAATTTCTCCCACAATGTTCCATATAACTATATAAGTATGTCACCGCACAAGGTTAGCTCCAAAAATACAAAAATGACAACAAAATGAACCAAAATATATACGAAATAACCTTGGGTTGCCTCCCAAGAAGTGTCACGTTTTACGTCCACGGATAGACGCAACGTACCATTATGTATCAAAACACACAAGAATTGGGACCATGTCATGCGTCCCGTCCACTTTAGCTTTGAGATATGCCCCTAAGTGCCGGGCATTCTCGAATTCATCACCGAGAGCAATGTGCACAACTTTTCTCCAAATAAACCACGAGATCACATCAAGAATTACGCTCACTCCCTTAAGAAGGTTTTGCACTCTCTTTTTCATTTCTTTTTCTCTTTCTCCTTCATTATTTTTTTATCAATTACATCACTCATAGCAACAACCACCAATTTATTTTCAATCTCTTCTTTACACCCTCTTTTTTCATTCCCCCTCTTTTCCTCATCACTCTTATTTTCAACTCCTTCACATTTTCTCTTCTCATCTACATCATCTCCATTCATTCCACCCTCAACCTCCTTGACTTCATCAACATTGTTGCCAAAAGTGACAACTTCACAAATTTTCATAGCACCCTCTTGATCACAACCAACAATCTCCTCATCCCCCAATCAAAATCCTCACAATCAAAGAACTCATCACAAGAACCAAGATAAACATTATGACAAAAATCATAGACGTCATCATTCGACTTCTCATCTTCCCACACTACCTCAATTTCGTCATCACTTTCACTTTCATTTTCAACCTCTTTTTTATTTTCCAACTCATGACTTGAAATCTCTTCAAGCACGGGGGTTTCATCTAGTATGGATCATCCTCGGCCCCTTTTATTCCGGAAGTGTTTTACCACTCCTTAAAGTGATAGCTTGGGCCTCCAATTGTTTCCTTCTTGTGATTTCTCCGATCACCATTGCCAAAGTTGTTAGATATACAATAGTCTAACTGTAATAAACCATAGTATACGAGAAACCTGACCTCGTATGATAGCGGAAGCGTAGTCGTGTAGATATCCAGCCATAGTTGATGTTCCTGTTGTGTTGCCTCTCTACGGTAGACCGTTAGCCATGCTTTGCCTCAGACCTGACTCAGAACCCTAAATGGTGTATTGGTATCTACTGAGCAGTCTGAGTACCGTAACTGAATGTGCTATCTAATCCATAATCCTGTATCCCATCAATCCAGGTTTATATTAGGCACAGAGTTTGGTTGACTAACAACTACTAGTTATTAAGTCCAACCAGACCACTTAATAAGCCTAGTCAACTTGCACCACTTAATTAAGGCCCTAATATATAATATATAATATATAATATATATTATTAGGGAAAATCTTACATTCTCCCACTTGGTGCAAGTACTAGCACAACCATCATCAAAGAAAAAAACACACGAATCATAGTGATATGTCCTCTATTTAATCAGAGTAGTATGCATTATGGTCACATGCATTTTAATTCTCCGACTTAGGTCCTTAATGAACAAACCCTATGTTTATTCTCGGTACCTTAAAGGATGTTTCTCAAAATACATTATCTGCACAACTGAAGGAGAAAACGCATCCAAATTGTACAAAAGAGTACACTATATGATCTCTAAAACTTTATAAGCATGCCTGAAGTAGAGATCTCTTAATGTTAGCATAATGCTAACTATATTCTATGACTTCTTTATAAGTTAACTTTAAGTACTATCTCTAACAGCTAAGAGCTTGGAGTTGACACGTCTGTCACTCCCACTCATCAAAAATAACTAAAAGATAGTCAAGCCACAGAAGCATTCCAATAACTTAGACAATAAACCAAAGGTCTTAGTCCATAAATTTGGAATCTTAATCATACACCATAACTTCCCAAATAACTTCAATGTCCACTTTAAATGAACTGAACACAATGAGTCTCACAAAATTGTTTTGAGCCTTACAAACCAAAATGGCCCAGGATTAATTTTGAAGAAACTAAAGACTCTATTAATCACTGAAGAATTTATTAAATTACAGTGCACCACAAGTTAAATGCTTTTGTTCTAATAAGTTCCTTAATATTGTTGCAACATTTTCATAAATATGTTGTACAACCAAGTGTTCAATAATTTGAACTTATGAATTTATATGAACAAATACAAGATTAATACTTGTGGAATATTTTGGACTTATTGTTTGACATACAATCAAATTTAGGATGTATGAAGCCAATTAAATCCATAAACTTTAGTGGAGCATCTTAATGATCTTTTTCTAAATGATCACTCCCACTGATTAAAATATTCTTCAGCGAAATTAATAAAATGAATTTAATAATATACATACTCATAATTGATTTATTGACCAACTAACAAATGAAGACATAATTCCCCACCATTAGTTGGACATACTAAATAATCAATTTTTGGTTCCAATTAAAGTCCAACTAAATAATGAAGATATAATTCCCCACCATAGTTGGACATACTAAAAAAAAAAAAAACAAAATACACATTTCAAAACCAAGTTAGAATTTGGCTCAAAAGATACATTTTATTATTAATGGAATCCAAAAGATGTATGTCAAATCATGTAACTTACTACAGTTAGTCCGAAGAACCGAGCAAGATTCGTGGATTAATTAGAAGTGACTAAATTTTGGGAAGTGACTGAAAAAACATGTTTTGCCAATGCAAACCATGAAACTTAGAATTATAATTGAGCTAAATTTATAATTTCTAAGAATTGTGATAAAATTATTATCTAATGGGTTGAGAGATTTATTGACATAAAACTTGCCTATGGGCTAAAGTTTTAATTCTATTAAATCCAATTAAGAAACCCTTATGATAATATTTTTCACAATTACTAAAGAGCCAGAAGAATCTAGTGACATAAAACTTGCCTGTGCGCTAAAGTTTTACTCAATTAGATCCAACTGAAAAATTTATATATGATGAAACCATTATCAAATGAGTTGTAGAATCAAATGAACTAAAACTTGCCTGTAGGCTAAAGTTTTAGTCAATAAGATTCATTACTATCATTATGATAAAAAACTTAAGAGATCATGTTCCTTTTCTTAATCCCTGTGGGCAAATTAAGAAATATGATCTAAAGTTTACATCATAAAACTAAACTTCATGATAGAATTGAAAATTATTTACAAATAACTATAAAGTAAATTAATTGATTTATTTCTATCATCACTGATAAAACTACTGAACTACATTCCGATACATAATTGCCTGTGGGCTAAATTATGACCGTAGTCTAGTATTTCATCCTGATTAATCAATAATCATACAAATATAATGAAATTGCCTGTGGGTTAAATTCCATCATATTACATACAATTAATCACAAACGATATGTCCAAAACTTTATGTGATCAAAATAAACCGCTTAATATATAATTTTAACAGATTAAAGATGCTGTGGCTACTCCCAAACCAAATTAAAATTATAAGATCACTAGACAATTATCAATTCTTTGCCTAAACTTTATGTGATTGAAACTTAACAATCTTAGGCAGCTGAATATGCTGTAGCATTTCCTTAATTAACCAAGATTGAAAACTCAAGATATTTCAGTAAATTAAAGATGTTTTGGCTATTCTTTAATGAACCGAAATAAAATCACATTAGCAAGGAATACTTAAAATTTTGGCAAACAGATTATACCAGATTGTGATGGGAAAATCTAAATATACTCCAAGAAAAGGTGGTTAGAGACTAAGTCTCACTGAAAACCAATTCCTTAAATAGAGTATCAATTTAAGGAGACTAGTGGCTCTGATACCAAATGTTAGATATACAATAGTCTAACTGTAATAAACCATAGTATACGAGAAACCTGACCTCGTATGATAGCGGAAGCGTAGTCGTGTAGATCTCCAGCCATAGTTGATGTTCCTGTTGTGTTGCCTCTCTACGATAGACTGTTAGCCATGTTTTGCCTCAGACCTGACTCAGAACCCTAGATGGTGTATTGGTATCTACTAAGCAGTCTGAGTACCGTAACTGAATGTGCTATCTAATCCATAATCTTGTATCCCATCAATCCAGGTTTCCTTCTTGTGATTTCTCCGATCACCATTGCTAAAGTGTCTTGCATCTTTTTCAAGGGTTGCAAGGTGTCATTCCGGTTGGTGAATTCCTCTTCAATTTCTTTCATGATTGTGGCCTTGAGATTGGCCATGTCTTCCTTGGGCTCATGTATAAACTCTTGCAACCCCCTTTCTAGTAGGGTAGTGGGTGAGTAACATGGGGTAGTTCCTCCCAATGTGCATGATGGTATGGTTCATAGAATCTTCATTCATCATAGTGCCATGGGGTGGGTGAGTGAGGTGGATTTCCTGGTGGTTCATAGGTATGTTGGGGTGTGTATGAGTATGTAGCATGAACTTTTTAAAGTTGGTATGGTGGTGGAGGTGGATAGTTATGTGGGAGTGGTAATAATTATGTGTAAAGGGGGAGTAATGGGGGTGTTGTTCATAAGTGTGAGGTGGAAGATGTCTCCATGATTCTCCTCTATGGGGTGGATACCCATAAGGATGTACACTCTTATTCATTGGTGAACTTAGCTTATTTGATACATTTTACACACACACACACACAAATCCTGCACAAAGCT